GTGTTTATGAAGCTCAAACTGTTTCAGTTTTTGGTCAAATTGTCATAAATGCATAGATTCAATTATATGTTTATTCAAAGGTTATATTATATTCAGTTAAATTATATTTAGAGGTGTTCCTAATATTCTGACCCTTTCATGTATGTAGCTGGTGAGGCACCTCTGAATATAATGTAGTGCTGTACAACACCACCTCTATGGCCTCAATAATAAACATATAATAATTTAAACATTTATGCCAATTTCACCAAAAACTGCAACAGTTTGAGCTTCATAAACACAGATGTTAAGCTTGGTTATACTGAAGGACATACAATTGTACAGATGTACCTAATAAAGTGGCTGGTGAGTGTATTTATCTTCACCAAAACACCTTCATCCTTAGACACACACACACAGATTGTGGTAAACCCAATCACTGACAGGCAACAGGTTGCAACAGTGTTACATTTCAAGCATGTTACACTCTTTAATTTCTCACTTCCCAGAGTATTTATCTCTGTCTCCCACAAGAACCTGTACAATAATGTTTCTCACTGTAAATTGGGCAATAAATAAGGTTACCTGTGTGGCTGCTTATCACTATTGATCAGTAAGGCAAGAGGCATGGTAAAAAGATTTTCTGTTCATAAGGCAACTGATTTTGGCGATAGTTTGATGGGAGTGGCCACTGGGGTAGATGAGGAATATTCTGAAAATGAGGATCATGTCTTTGTCAGTTTGGAGTCTGACAGTGACTTTGATGAAAAGGATAAAAGAGAGACCCAGCCTGCCCGTCCGCAGACAGCCCCAGAGCCAGTCTGTCCGTATCCTGCAGGGAGACAAACATGGATGTCAAACAATGGAGAAATTGAGGAAGGAAGTGGAAGCGATGCAACACATGCAATGTGTGGCCCAAAGGACAGGAAGACACAGTACAGTTGTGTCAAGTGCAGCAAATATATTTGCAACATGCGCGCACACACTGTCGAAGTCTGCTCCTCTTCTGGTGTGATGAGGGGTGTTGTTTTATGTCTATGGGATGTAGAGATAAGTTTAGAAATCCAGTGCGTAAAAGTCAATATAACATTACATTTTCTCAAAAAAAAAACAAGTGGAACTTTTGATTGATACATGTGACCTAACAGAGGTAAATATTATTCTATATTATATTATAAGTGGCTCCTTGACTCTCTTTGGCAAGACCTTCTGCACATACAAGAAGAAGAAGAAGCCCTGGTTCACAGTAAAACTCAAGAAGCTTCGCTGTGCCAAGGAGGAGGCCTATAGAAGTGAGGACAGGATTCTATACAACAAGACCAGAAACACACTGACTAAAGAGATCAGGGTAGCTGAGAGGGGCTACTCCAAAAAGCTGAAAGAACAGTTTTCAGCCAACAACCATGCGTCAGTGTGAAGAGGCCTGCAGGACATCACCGGCTACAGGAAACCATCCCGGCACGCTGTGTAGAACCATCAATTGGCAACCATCAGATGACCGGAATGCGTTTAACTCAGATTTGGGAAGCAGGGCTTCACACCCCTCACCCACACCACCACCAGCCGCTCCCCCTACAACTACCCTCTCAGGCACCCCACCTCTGATGAAAAGGATGTGCGTGGCCTCTCACAGAGACAAAAGATCAGGAAGGCACCAGACCCAGACGGTGTGACTCCCTCCTGTCCTGAAAGTCTGTGCTGCCCAGCTAGCCCTCATCTTCACACATACAGTATCTTCAGCAGCTGTGTGAGGTACCCTCCTGTTTCAAATGCTCCACCATCATCCCAGTCACCAAGAAACCCTACATCACTGGTCTTAATGACTACAGACCTATTACCCTGACATCTGTCGTTACGAAAGCATTTGAGAGACTGGTGTTGGCCCACCTGAAGGACATCACAGACCCCCTCCTGGACCTCCTGCACTTTGCCTACCGGACAAACGGGTCAGTGGATGATGCAGTCAACATGGTGCTACATTACATCCTGTAACATCTTTACTCCCCAGCAATGTATGCATGGCTCCTCTTAGTGGATTTCAGCTCAGCATTCAACACCATCATCTCAGACATCTTTCACTGACCCAGCTCACTGTGCCTGCCCCCCACCTGTTAGTGCATCACCAGCTTTCAGACAGACAAGAAGCAGTAGGTGAGGTCAGGGAAAACCACAGCCAGCACCTGAATCAGTCAGTACAGGCAGCGTACTGGCGAGAGGTTGAACAACTGGCACTGTAGTGCGGTCACAACAACCTGGAGCTCAAAACAGTGGAGATGACAGTGAACTTCATTAGGATCCCCCCACCCCCCCTCACCATACTCAGCAGTACTGTATCAGCAGTGGAGACCTTCAGATTCCTGGGCTCCACTGTCTACCAGGACCTGAGGTGAATGTCCAACATCAGCACCATCATCAAGAAAGCACAGCAGAGGATGTACTTCCTGCGCCAGCTCATAAAGTTCAACCTGCCCCAGAAGCTGCTGATACGATTCTACAGAGGAATTATCCAGTCTGTTCTCTGCTCATCCATCACTGTCTGGTTTGGCTTAAAAACTAAACAGGACAGGGACAGACTCCAGTGGACAGTTTGGACTGCAAAGAGAATAATCAGTGCCTACCTGCCCTTTGTGGAGGACCTGTACACCTCATGGGTCAAAAGAAGGGCAGGGAAGATTTCTGCATACCCCTCACACCCTGGACACAAACTGTTTGAACACCTCCCCTATGGACAGCGCTACAGGTCACTGTACACAAGAAACAACCAGATAACAAGTCCATCACTCAGAATGGACAGTTATCCATGTTTGTCGGAATAACAGGATATAGCAAACATCCCCAGTGCAAAAATGTGTAAATCTGTGTATAGTATGTATATATATTTATTAATAAATTGTTGTTTTTGTCTTTTTTTTTTGACAAATTTATTTAAATTCACATATTTTTTCTTGTTGACTTACAAAGGCACATTGACAGCCACTGTACACACAGAGTCCTTGTGTGTTCAACATACTTGGCAAATAAAGATAATTCTGATACTGATTCTTTACATTATACTGTGGCATGAAACTTAGTTCCTGTAGTGTTTATAGTGACTTCATCCATCCATCCATTATTTATACTGTTTATTCCTGAATAGGGTCGTGGGGGGGGGCTGGAGCCAGTCCCAGCTGACATTGGGTGAGAGGCGGGGTACACCTTGGACAGGTCTATAGTGACTTCAATCACTTGATAATATATTAACCAAATTTCACATTAAAATTAAGAACATTATTCCATATATATTTGTTTGTTCTGCCCTCTGTCTTGGAAATTAATTGGCAAACCACTAGTTTAATTTGAGAGACAGGGTTGTTGAGTGTAATATTTATATTTCTATGACTGTATGGTGGCGGCACAGCGTCGCAGTGGCTGGCACTGTCACCTCACACCTTCCAGGTTCAAGCCACAGCCGGCATGTTCTCCCTGTGCCTGCGTGGGTTCTCTCCGGGTACTCTGGCTTCCTCCCACAGTCCGAAGACATGCAGCTTAGGTTGAATAGAGACTCTAAATTGTGTGTGTGGTTGTTTGTCTATATGTCAGTCCAAATTATTGCCCCCTAGGAGTGAGTGTGAGTGTGTGTGGTTGTTTGTCTACATGTCAGCCCTGTGATAGACTAGCAACCTGTCCAGGGTGGACCCCGCCTCTTGCCCAGTGTCAGGTGGGATAGGTGCCAGCACCCTGTGACTTTATTTAGGAATGAAATGTATACATGATGGATGGATGACTGTATGGTTACAGCAAATGGAAAACTCCAAATGTCTTGTACAGTATTTTATAAGCAAGCATGATAGGTTTTATATCGCTGGAAACCATGAAATCTCACAGGAGATTAAAATAGTTTTTGACAGTCTGAGTAATGGTGTGCCATAAAATTTTATGGTTGACTACTTGGAGACAGTGCTGGTATCCTTTAATTTTGTATTGTACTAAAATAAAATAAAAAATCAAGATGAATTATCTTCCATTCTGAAGAGCTGCCTACATGTATGTATGTATGTTTGAAAAAGGCTTCTAGTATAACTACAATTAATACAGTGATAACAATAGCCAACTCAAAATGCGCTCCATTTCCTGGCAAAGGTGTAGTTGCTCTTCTGCTGGTTGCTTCTTGAAATCAGTGTTTCCCTATCAGTTCAGGGTAGACAGACTGTCTGGTAACAGCAGGTGATCATTATCTACCATCCTCAGCGGACAGACAAGCCTGCTCTTCATGTCTCATTGTATGTGGGTGGCATGCTGGGCCGTGATACCTGCCAGTGCTGGAAATACCCAAATATCACCAAATATCACGATGAGTTGATACAGTGAATAAAACTGAAAAAAGTGTTCAATGCATGTGAGTGTATGTGCGTGGGCATCCATATCGTTTCTTTTAGGCTACAGTTCACAAACATCTTATAAAAAAAAGCTATAAACAAAGTTTATGCTTGCACACGTAACCTAAAGTAAAAGATAAGGTTTGTTACTTTCATAATTTAACTGTTTGTTTTTGATATGTCCTCAAATATAGGCTGCTGTACCCCCAAATAAGTGGTTAAACTCTCTAACAGCACAATGAAATGCATACATTTCAGGGCTTATAACAAATAACTGGTCACAAAAAACTTTCAGGGCTTGTTTATCCACTGATTGAAGTTAATATTCACATAAGGAGTTTTTCTTGATGATCTTTCCTATGGTGGTAGCAAATCAAATTCCTAAAAACCCATTACTATACTGTAAACTGAACATAGCTGTCAGACAGTTGGTCAGAAGACTTTGATCTGTCTATGTTTCAGGTCAAATGTTCTAAAGCATTACCAACACCAAAACATTAAACACAGTGACCCAGGACTCATCTTTGATGTGTGCTTCAAATGGAACTGATCGCGCTAAAACGCAGTGTTGTGACCTTTGTTTCAACCTAAACAGGCTGAGCTGCAGCCACAAACAGTGGCAGAAGCAGTGTGAGAAACTCGGTGAGATGAAAGGGGGTAATAACAGCGTCGCTCTGTACCTGTGGGAGGAGTGTGTGCACCTGCGGACACAATCGTAGCGCTGCCTTGCTTGGCGGCAGATTGCAGCTTGTTCATCAGCAGGACACACAAGCGGAAGGCTGAGCCATGGATACAGAGGCAAAATCCCCCGCCGATCAGGGAGTGCGGCTCCTGGACATCAGCTCCAACCCACCCCCTCCTGCGCAGCGGCAAAACCCCCCGCCGATCAGGGAGTGCGGCTCCTGGACATCAGCTCCAACTCACCCCCTCCTGAGCCCCAAGGTGCGGAGGAGACAGGCCAGCTGGAGAAGCCGCCGTATTCATACGTGGCTCTTATCGCCATGGCTATAAAAGATAGCCAGCACAAGAGACAAACTCTGAGCGGAATATACGACTACATCATCTCCAAGTTCCCCTACTACGAGAAGAATAAAAAAGGATGGCAGAATAGTATAAGACACAATTTGTCCCTCAACGAATGTTTCGTCAAGATGCCCAGAGATGGCGGTGGGGACAGGAAGGGCAACTACTGGATGCTGGACCCCGCATTTGAGGACATGTTTGAGAAAGGGAACTACCGGCGGCGGAAGAGAGTTAGGAGACCCTACAGACCCCCGAGCGTGCCTTACTTGACCGGATCCCCCGTGGAATATCCCGAGCCCTTCTACCTGCAGTCTTATGTGAGCAGCTCCTGGGCTCCGTACCAGCCGACCGGGTACCCAGCACACCAGGTCATCACTGGGCATACAGGCAGCGTGTCCCCCAGCGGCCAGGTGAGCTCATACTGTCCTCCCACCCACTTCAACCACCCTCCCTACGGGGCTTACCACCACCACCCACCCGTGCTCGTACCCCACAACGGGTATACCTACGGCGGAGTGACCCAGCCGATGAGCCCCGACGGAGGCACCGTGTCTGTGGCATGCAGCTACCAGCAGTTCACCTCCTATGCAAGGCAAGCGGAGACGCAGCTCGCCCATTCATTTAACTAGTAGGGATTTGAGTTATTCTCAGCATGGACAGCTAGTTCACAGACTCTGAGTTCATCTGTTTAACCATTTCACTTCGGCTGTCCTTCTTTTGCCAGGAAAAGTTAATTGTTTGCTTGTTAGATAAAGTGTACTGTAAGATTGTTGACTGTTGATTCAATGTTAAATAAGCTTTTGGTGGACTCTTTTTGATAGGCTACAGTTTCAAATGGTAATGAATTACTGTCAGTCAGTAGGCTGATCACTGCATTTTGCTTTGAAATGGCACTGATAATGACAGTTGATTTAAGTTTGAGGCTTAGTTTATGCCTCTTTTGTTGGAGATTTGTTTCTGAAACCAAAGAAATAGCCTATAGCCTATGCGTTTTTTCCGCCTTATTATTGTTTGCTTTTTTATTGTTCAAATATTCCTAGCCCAGCCTATATATTTGCAACTGTATTATTTATTTCATTTCTCTCGTTTTATTCAAAGTTGCTATGCAACAGTTGGTGACTCTCAAGCACTGATCAGTTTTCTTAATCGATTATGAATGTTGATGTAAAATACTTTGTTCGTTAAAATAAAATGATATTTTTGCATTTTATTATCTTGTTGATTGACTCACTCATCTGCTATTACTTACGGCCATTATTATTATTATTATTACGTCATATACAAAAGATATGCCTTAACTCGTTAAGTTAAAGTTGTAGAGGTTGGTCTAATTGTGTAAGCTTCAATAATGATGCACAACTACGACAGTTATTGGCTTGATTAGTCTTGTCATGACATTTGGATATTTGGTGGAATGTAACCTAAGTAGGATACCATTTACACAAGTACTTTAGGCTACTGAAGTAATATTTTGAGGTAGGTTACTTGTACTTTTCTTGAGTTTTCTACTTTCTACTTTTACTCCACTATGAATATTTTAGTTGTATATTACACATTTATTTAATAACTTTAGTTAGGCCTACTACTTTTCAGATTCACATTATAAACTAAAATACAACGGATTATTACATTATGATGTATTATTGCTAGATAGATGCCCAGCAGAACTAAAAATAATCACACTTAGTGATTTTTGACACCTGAGGCTAATTGTAAACATGGTCCATTGAAGATTTTACTTTTCGTAGCCTCTGATGTTACAAATGCCTATTTTAAGGAGTTCTCCATACTATTATTTGAAAAAAAAAAAACCCAAGCCAACCGGTGGCTGAAGTGCATCAAATGTATTGTTTGTGGCGATTACTTCAAAATAAATCCCAATAGGCTATTAACACTAATACAGTTCATCCAACATTATATCGCAACTAAGCCTATAGGCTCACTGTCTATTTGTTTAAATATAGTTTCAGTTATAACTGCTACGTAAAACAACAAATGTGCAACGTGTGTGAGTGAACACTAAGGCTAACTACCTTTGTTATCACTTCCAAGTACCGGCAGTTTTATTTTATTTTATTTTATCTTTTTTTATCCTCTATCAACAGACATGACTTAAATGCACCATATCCTGTGCGAGGGCAGAACTTGTTCCCTCCCATGTTGCAACGCTATAATAGTCCCCTACTGCTACACTTTGCTGAGTGATCGTTTTTTATTTTAAACATTACAACTCAAAACACTCCAATTATGGCTAACTGTTTAGGTTTATGTTATAGGTTAAATATGTATGGTTTCAAGTGAGTGGTACAGTGGAAAAGAACACTTGCACAGATTTTCTTTTTTTTTTAGTTTTCATTAAAAATTTGTTCCGTCTCCAGTCGTTTACGCACGTTCCGTTTCCGTTACGGGGCGTGATCCATACTAAAGAATGGTATGTCGCGTGCCCCTAGCGCGTGTTTTGCTAAACGAATAGATAGTGTTATATTTTTCATGTTGTGTTACCTAATTTGGTTGTAATTTCACTGAAAATGGAGACTTTTAACCAACTTGTGCTAGAATATCCCGAGCTAATGTACGGTGGAGTCGGTGTTACAGCATTTCTCACCGGTGGAGCGCTAATATACAAAATTGCTACCAGGTAACATTAACTTGAAGGTTTTGCTTTTAGCTAGCTTTTAGATTCGCGGTAACGATATAACAAATTCACATACCGTGTTTAAAGTTTGCACTGGCTTTGTGTTGCTCAAGAAATAATGCAAGCATTTAATTAACATTAATGAAGTTGCTTGTACGCTAACTTTTCTAGCCGCGGTGCTAACTTGGCGTTAATTTTGATGCTAAATTGACATTTAGATTTTTTTTTCCGGATATTACTGTGCATCATTTATGTGAAATATTGATTCGACCTTATTGCTGTCAGGCTAACATGCATTACCACAAAAACGAATTCGCTTCTCAAACTCTTACACGCCGGGGACCTGGTAATCGATTGTCATGATCTTGGACCCTGTGCCCCCAATTACTCATTATGTAAGAGGAAACGTTCCACATTTATGATAGGTAATCCACTTCAGTGAGCCACGTGGTCTCGGCATCCCACTGTAGGAAACATTTGGATCTCAGCAATGCACCAGTAGGTTCGATTAATACTGCTGCATTGTGTTAAGTGCTCCACCTGTTACAGAAAGAAGCCAAGCCATGTGAATGTGAACTGCTGGTTCTGCAATGACAACACAGTGGTGCCTTATGGGAACAGGAACTGCTGGGATTGTCCCAACTGTGACCAGTATAATGGCTTCCAGGAGGTAAGTTGGACAAGAACATGACAGCTGTGAATTGTTTTCTTGGCACCTTAGTAAATTGCAGTGAATTCGTTTTTCTGTTTTGTTAGTGTTGTGACCTGTGTGTTTGTAATATTCTCCATTTTATTGATTTGTCTTGTTTTCAGAATGGAGATTACAACAAAATCATTCCAGCTCAGTACAAGGCACATCTAAACCATGGAGTGTCTGCAAGTCTTCTCTCATCTGAGACACCCAAGACACAGCAGTGGGTCAACTGCCAGATGCTGCTATGCAGGAGGTGTAATAACAACCAGTCTATTAAGATCAAGCAGTTGGCCTCATTTATCCCAAGGGATGATGTAGGTACCATACTTTGCTTTTTTCTATTCACTGTACTGCACCAGATATTGTTACAGCAATTCATCTTGAATGAATTGTTTGTATTGTAGGAGAACTACGATGAGGAAATTGAAGCCTACAAGCACCACCTGGAGCAGACCTATAAGTTATGCAGGCCATGTCAGACAGCAGTGGAGTATTACATCAAATATCAAAATCGGCAGCTACGTACGGTGCTCTTAAGTCATCAGCTTCGACACTCCAGGGACAAGAGCTTTGTGAAGGTCGGCACAAACCAAAGTTTAAAACCTCAGACACTTGACAAGCAGTCACTTTTAGTTTTTAGTTATTTGTATATTTACACAAAATTGTTCTTAGTGTTTTGTTATTGTTTATTCTGTTTTTAGTTTTGTGTCTACACTGTTATTACTTTTGTCATTACCTTATTATCTAGAGGGGACGCTTGGCAATTTTAATATTACATGCTTTGATTAGAGAGTTAAGTCATGTATGCAGTGGATATGGGTGTGATTTTCTTACCCTACTTAAGTAATAATTACAGCCCTGGAATATATACTTTTTAAAGCTCCCATTATATTTCTGAGTTTGTGTGTTGGTAGTCATTTAATTGATGTTCACACCCCCTGGTGTTGTATTTGGACAAAATGAAAAGATGAGTGCTTCATCCCACACAATTGTATATGGTTGATTGTTGTTATATGTCAAAAATGGTCTTACAATAGTATGCATTTACTTTTGTTGTGAAAATGTCCAGATTTCTAATGAAAACATGTCCTCTCTTCTGCAGAGCTCCCATTCTCCATCTTCTCCTGTTGGGGTCATACTGTTACGAGCCCTTGCCTTCCTGATTTGTGCTTTCCTAATTGGTACATCTTTCTGTGAATTACCAGATCAGTCTGCTTTGCCTAGGGCCTCACACACATTAAGTGGTGGTGTCACTCCTCTAAAGTCTAAACCCTACAATGAATCCACCCCCAAAAATGAAAGCAGTGGAGATGTGCCTGTGTGGCAGGGTCTGCTGGAGCTGCTCCCAGAAAAGGCCATAGAAAATGCCAAGCTGGTGTGGCAGCATGGAAGGGACAACCAGCTGAGTGTAGTCTCTGTTGGCCTGCTGACTTGTCTCACTGCTATCTTCTTAGCAGGACCTGTAAGGTAAGCAGTCACTGCATCTTTATCCTTTTGAAAGGTCGTTCATCCCAGATAAATTTGTTTTAAGAAAACACTATTGGTTCATGTGCTGCTACATTTTCAGGTTGAGGAGAATTGATGCTGTGGCCTCTGTCCTATGGTTCCTCATCTTGTGCCTCTACCTTGCTGAGAGCTACTTGACTGGTGGCTCAGGCTGGATGGTTACAGCCAGGCACAGTGCCGTTTCCCTCTGCTGCCTAGTCAGCTTTGCTGCGGCAGTGGCAATTCACAAACCACTGGGTCTACGAAGAGGCAGCTGTCGAAGGTCAGAATCTGAGCAGTAATGTTCACATTGTGTTTAAAACATTGTGAATTGTGCAAAGAGTCTTTTCTTCCATGTGATGGTTGAGTTCATTAGAACAAAATGCATTAGTGTGCATTCACTAAGTGCTGTTAGCTTTTCTTGTTTCTTGGAAAGTACCATTATTAATTTATTATAGAGTTTTCCACTCCTAACTCTTCTCTTTACAGCTGTGTGCTAATAATGTTGATGTTGTGGATGGGACTCTAAACTAACAGTATGCTCACACATACAGATTAAAAGTAGTTGGCTGTATCTGGGGTTCTGTATTTCTGGGGTTGTAAGCATATAATTCACATCCTCTGCTCCAACTGAACAGTTGCGTTCACATGTATCTTCTGTATGATGCACTGCTATGGATGTCTGTGATTTTGTTTTCACATGACAGTGAATACGTTTTTTTTGTTTGTTTGTTTGTTTTTTCTCCATTTTGTAAAAAATTCTCATGTAGTGGAGTGGGGTATGAAACAACCCTGTGCTTCGGTTTAAGCTGGAATCGATGATCATGATTAGCTCTCACCTGTCTGCTGCTCATACCTTATTAAATAAAGTTGAATGTTCTTCAACTTTATGCCATGTAGTGGAGCTGGGAGCTTTTTGAATTTGTCGAGCTCCATGGGGGCCCCGGGCTGTAAAGCCAGACTTCATTCACAGTGAATAGCATCTGTTGCTAGCCCAGCCTTTGGAATCTGTATGAGTGAACATGCTGTTAAAGCATAGGATTGTGCATGTGGCCCATGATAGGAGCATGGTGATTAAGGCATTTGCCTAATCACAGCAAACCTCCCCTTCAAGCACACATGTACTGGTATAAATTAGCAGTGTGTGTGTAATAAGCATTAGCAGTTAATGGTGCAGAGGTACACAAACCAACACTAATAAACTATTGTTGCCATCTCTTATTGAGAAGACCTAATGCAGATTGTCTTTCAGATTTGTATTTCTTAATCTTATAACAGTGTGATTGACCTTTAGAGTTAAAAAACAGAACCACCATAGTGGGATTTTAACTAGTACCGAAATAGAGAAAGAATGTTCCTGTGAATAATGTACCAGTGTTTGTAAGCTGAATGTCAATCTTGAAGATGTTTTACAACTGAGATCAATGAACTGATCTGTCCATGTGAATAGATTGCTTAATGTTATTTTTGGAGAGAATGAGTAGGTACTTGATTGATCCCACAGTGGGGAAATTTCTGAATGTGTTTTTCAGCTTAGGAAATACAGCTTCCCCGCCCCTCACCCGGCTATATGGTATATATTTTAAGGGTTGCTTAGATTTTTAACATATTGGTATGAGTCACAGGCTAATATTTTGAATAGACATTACTTCTCTGTGGCTCCTACACATAGTATCTGTTATTGTCACTTGCTAGCTGTCAGAGAGCTCCATTCACCATCTGAAACAGTAACAAAATAAAACTATTGTTGCGAACAAATTTGATTTACAACGTAAATGTGTAAATACTAAGTGGGCGCTGATTTTTTTAAAAATTTTTTATCTTGGTGAAATATTGGATTGCTGCTTCGTTTATAAGTCTGTTTGCCCCAGTGCAGCACTGAACCAGAATCAGTGATGCCCCCTCGCCCAGGGAATCTGAATGTTAGTTGATGCCATTGTGAAAAGGGCACATTGGTATAATTTCTCAACAGAGAATGGCCTAGGATCTGTTTTGAACCTACTATTTATAATGCGTCTAGAAAATCCTTTAGAAATGCAACATTGCAACTGATCAGTTCACAAGTCAGAGCTGGAGGAGTTTGCCATGTGTGATATTTGTGTTTTGCTGTTTGTATGGTGGAGAAGTTAAAGGATGGTAGTATGAACACTTGTTAATGTGCTGGTTGCTGTTTGAAAATCACTAGTTGAGTGCTTTTCCAGAAATTCTGTAAAAAATTTCAATTGCTTAGTTGTTTGCAGTTGTTCTCCGGTGCCCATGGGTGTGATCTTGTGCCCCTGTGATTTCCAATTGGATTATGCTTCAGTGTATTTTCCTGTCTTTAAAAGAAAAGTTTGCAGAAAGCCTATAATCCATGCAAAGTATTTTTGCTTCGCACCTATACTCAGCTTTGACTGTATACCTCATATGTGACATTGTTTTAGTCAATCTCTGCAGTACCAAAAGCAGATGCTTAAAAGTAGTGCTTCTGGTGGACTACCTAGCAGGTGCTTGCTTTGTTTTGCATTTGCAAAACAAATCAAGCTTTGAGGTAATCATTCCAGAGTTGTATTTTCTGGCAGCCTTGTTGCATCAGTGCAAACATTATGAAGTGTTCAATGCATATGGCATTGATGGCAGTCTTTCAGATGTCATGTAAGAGTGCAGGCAGCAAGCAAGCATCGATTTCATGAGACTTGATGTAGTTAAAGATTTTTATCTACCAGGATAAGCCACAGATCCTAGACACTTTACACTTGCCCAGGTGGCGTTATGTTTCATCCTAAGATTTTAATAGTTTTTAATAAGTCCCAGGTGAGATGTTGGACTGTTCTGTTTGAATAAAAATATTAATGTCTTTAGCATGTACCTAATTCTTCACTTGATACCTTCCATTAATATTGAACTTTACCAACAATGTAACATGTTGATATATTTAAAACACTGATGAACATACTAGTTGCATGTGTTAACATTTCACCTCTTGCCAATTTGTTTCCATTAATCTGTTTTGTTTTACTTTGTTGTAATGTACTCAGTAAGTGCTTTAGATTGTATTTGGTGGGTCTGCATGTTGTGCTGTCCTGTAGATGGAGTTATGTTCTCAAACCAGCACATTTGGTGCCGTGATGTCAAATTTTAAAGTTGTTTTTTTTTCTTTTGCAAAGGTGTTACGAGAAAGTATTGACGCTCTGTATAATGTTTTTTAGTACTCGTACAGTGTGAGTTTTGAAACTAGAAATTGATGTTTGCCTCTGAAAATATCAAATGCAAAGATTGCAGTGCTCTGTAGTCTATGGAACATCTCAGTAGTAACCTAGAGTTGCTTCCGTTTTTACCTGACATAAAATCATCATGTGAATCATCTGCATCTTGAACTCTTGACAAAGATGTTAATTTACCAAAATTAAAGCGTAAACGTATCCAGCCTAATGAAGGCATTAAAAGCAGTATACAGTGGAACCTTGGATTGCGAGTATAATTCGTTCCGGCAATGTGCTTGTAATCCAAAGTACTCAATATATCAAAGCAAATATCCCCATAAGAAATAATGGAAACACAGATGATTCGTTCCACAACCATTTATTCATATAAAAATGATGACAGTAATACAAAATACAATATAAATTAACCTGCACTTTACCTTTGAAAAGAACCACTTATTCATATAAAAAATAACAGTTTTGCTGCACCTAGCCCCGTTATTTCTTCTTTAATATAGTGCAAATTGTCGACGTAGACTTGTTATAAAATCTCGCGATGTCGGCCACTCGCATACCTCATTCATGCTTTTGGATAATTTCCTTTTTAACCACCACCGTAATCGTTTCCTCCTTACTGCCTTCCTTTTTCAACCTTTTTCTTCTTCTTCAACGGGTCCATTGTTGTAGTACAAATGACTATATGAGTGAGACCGGGAGACGATTATTGTACTCCCTATCCCACAGCGAGAAAGAGAGAGAACAGCCATCGGCTCAGTTGTGACCTGATGCGTACGTACTACTTGTATTACAAGACATCGCTCGTTTATCAAGTTAAAATTTTTACAAAATTTTTGCTCGTCTTGCCAAAAACGCAGACCAAGTTAGTCGCAATCCAAGGTTTTACTGTACTGGGAAAATAGCTGTGTGATGTTTCAGTTTTGATAGACTTGGGTTTGAGGCTAACACTGGTCTTTTCTGTGTGACTGTAAGAAAACATGTTTCAGTAAAATTTGTGTGTGTGTGAGAGAGAGATAAAACTTTAAATGTATTATCTTTACCATTTTTTACTGTGTGTGCTAGTAAGATTATGGTCTTTATAAACCTCCAGTGTTCTTGTTTGTTGTGCTATAATATATACATAATATCTAGCCTGAGTATGAGGCTATTTCTTTTTTTTTTTTCTTTTTTGAGAAATCCTTTATCTACCTGAAATTGTAAGACTGAACTTTATCCATGTCAAGCATTTAGCTGTTTAGTACCATTGTAACTGACACATTTTGTGGTGGTAAAGGTGATAACAACAGAAGGTTGTTTTTTTTTTTTACACTAATTTATTGCACTGTGTTATTATCCAGTATTTAGCTGAAATGTGTGCATTTTTAAATGTTTTGGTAATGTGTGTGTTGCAGAACTACTAAAAGACTGAACATTAAAAATAATGAAGTTAAACGCCAAATCTCTACTTTTACACAATTTAGGCAACATGCCATTTTAAACCTATAGTAGAAATAAGCTAAGGAATTCACAGCTTGATCAATTACTGTTATTTGAATATCCTGTAGCAGCCTCAGAAATGGAGCTCTGTCCATGCTGAAACGTTTCCTGCAACATACCCAAAGAAACATTGTTTTAGATGCTTAAATGCTGAAATTGGGTGTCTTGCTTTGAATGTCAGGCTCCAGTTTGAAGACTTTGTCGGAATGTTTGCTGTACATGGAATCCAATAAACAGCTGGTGAAAGGATACGCCTTCTGTTTTGTTTTCATCAACAGAAACACGTCTGGTCCACTTGAGTATTTTTTATTTATTTATTTTTTTCCTGTTTCTGAAATAGTAGGTTTATTGCACTGTATTAGTGTTAAAGAACAATGTCAGTGTGATGTTAGCCAGCAGTGCTGTAAGTTTTTCTAGAAATGCAAAGTTTGATTGCCACTGGCTAGATGATACTTTGATACATATGATGTAGTAGAAATGTAAGTTTAGCTGCATTGCTTAGCATTTCTGTAGTTGTATTTTCAGCTGCTGTGTTGTCCAGCAGCTGCAGCAACCTTTCAGTGACAGCCTTGCTTTAGACTGCTGCATAAATAAAATGTGTGAAATGGATGTCAGAGCTACATGGTACAAATCTTTGTTTTGTTTTTTTTGTGGCAGACTGACACAAATGGTGATAATGTCCAGAATGTTGTGTAGTGACATTGGTGTGGAACTTGTCAATCCCATTTGAAGGCTAATTTTTTTTTAACATAAAATCACAAATTGAAAGTTTAGTGCGCTTGCAACACTATTCATAATGTGCTTAGGGGCGTTTTTTTTTAACTAAATGTTTTTTTTTGTTGCATTTAAACATTTTGACAGTTTTGTTATAATTTTGACTTCAGGTAGTAGACCATTACGTTCCCCTTGTGTTGCAGATACCTTGCAGGAAACTCTACAGTTCCCCTCTTCAGCAGCCAGCCTCCTTTGCTTTCTCCTACCCTGGCAGACTCTTTTGTCCCCACCCCACCCCCCAACCTCTCCAAGCTCATCAATCGCCAAAAGAGTCCTTGCAAGTGCAGCGATTCCCCCTCCTCTCTGCCTGGGCGCCTCAGCAGAGCCCTCTGCCTTGGCACCATCCCTTCCTTCAAAAGGACAGGTAACATAAAATTAATTTCCTTCCATTTGAGTTGGCAGGTAGTGCAAATTTGTTTTTTCAAGTAAGCCTGTCACTACCTTGAACCTTAAGCTAATTCGGGGAGATTTCACCTAATTTCTACCTGCACTTCTTATTGCATTAGATGCTGACAGGTTTGATCTCAAGTTGCTTCTTGCAGTTTGCTGCCTTGCATACAGACAATTCATAATAAGATTCAGTAGCTTTATTTAGAGTTTCTATTGTCTAGAGGTCAAACTGTGAATCAAAGTCACTGTTTCTAACTGGCCTCACATCTCTGGCTTCTTTGTGGTGTTGTTCATTGGCTGACATACATGCTGATAGGTAGGTAGGGCTTTATTGATCCCACAACGGAGAAATTCCTGTGTTCCAGCAGCAACAAATCACCATAACAACAAACACCACACACATATCTTGAGACACAAATTCCAAAGTACCTAAAACCAAACAGAATATAGTATTTGAGAGACAATCAGGAGTAAGAATGATCCTCCCACAATTAATCCCTGAGAACAAATCAAAATACCTAAGAACAAGACAAAATATAGTATTCAAGACGTCAAGAAATCAAGGACAAGAATATTACTGATACCAATATATCTCATATTGGCAAATATGTCAGTCTGGCACATTTATTGGCTTAGCTCCATTTGTGAATATTTTATGAAGCAGCGCATTAATATGCACTTAACATTTATTTATGGAAGTAATATGATCCTACAGTCGATTGTCCAGTCACCTTGTTAACCTGAAGTTATCTACTGTTAGATTTATCAATCACAGTAACATTAGGTTTTATTTGAAAATGTGTTTTTAGCCATCTGCCTAATACAGTTTTAAGGAAAGCCTTGGTTCATGATGGAGGTGAATGGAATGATTGTACACTGTGATTATCTATTTTCAGATTCTGGTTATCTGTTTAGTGGAAGCAAACCAGCTTCACAATACAAAGACTCTCCGCCCTCAGGTATGAGAACTCCTGGTGATTTTGTGATGTCCACTCAACTTTGTATTTTAAATAGTTCCTAACCTTTTCACAGCTTTGACACTTTTTGCTGGTGTTTTTGACACAGACTATTTTTCACTGAAGTCTGGGAGCCATCAGTCATCCCCAAGCCCCTCTCCAACCCCATCAGTAGCTGGGTCAGTTACTTCCAGTTTAGGTTCTGCCAGACAACGCCGCCCCCTCATCAGTCCTGCACGCCTCAACATCTGTAGCCTGAAACTACAGCTTTTCTCAGCCGAGCGAGAACCGAAGCGCTCGGCCCCACTCGTGTCTTCATTATACTCCACCGTGGATTCATCGGCTCCCGTTTACAGTGGCTCCTTTTCACCTGATGTATCACCTTTCCAAAGCCAGAATGGTAAGTACACCTAAGGTTAAACTGTTATTAGCAAAATGGTTTAAATTTTACCTGAGTGTCCTTTTTGATGCCATAATATGAAAGATTTCATAATCATTCATGCTTGCATTGTTTTAGTGGTATGGTGGTATAGTTTATCTGGTTCTGTTGTTTTGCAGATTTGAGCTTGAGTGACAACAGTGTAATTGATAAGGAAGAGATAAGTGAGAGAGGGAGCTCTTCAGGGTCCTCTGCATGCCTGGTGGACACTACGACACAGGGGCCAGAGAACACTCCTCCTCCAAAAGGTAAGTAGTGATTGAAAAAATGGTGGGGAGATGGAAGCACTGCCCACAGCCTGCCAGAAATCACATTTAGTTTTGGTCTCATGCCTATTGTCTAACGGGGAACCAGAACTGTCTTGGGCTTTCTTAAATATAATTGTAATATTTGTAATGTTTTTCTTTACTTTTTTAAGGGTAGGGTCAAATTTTTTCCCAAGTCTCTCTTAAAACAGTACTTATTGCTTACTTGCTCATATGTGCATTGAAAACATTGATGACTATTACTGTCCCTTCTGTCCATACTGGCTGCAGAACAATTCCCTCTTAAAGCTATCTCAATGAAACCAATAGGGGACGAAACACTAGCGTTTCCACTGTCTGAACCTAATGAGCCTTACACCCTGTGCTTCCCTGGCATAACCTCAAGGGTTGATCTGGTCTCTGTTTGGAGGATGTGAAGGATCACTCCATACCACATCAAGTAGCTAGCAATGAAGACTGTATGAGCAGTTTATCAAAAAGCTGTTGAACAAGCAATGTGATGTCATTGTGATCAGCTCGCTGAAGTCCCCCACCTCTGAATTAACAAGTGAAGTCCTCGATCATTGAACCAATCACTGGTGCAAAGCTGTTGCCCACAATTGGTGCTGAAATGTAGCTGCTGGTTCGCACCTCCAAAGTGGGTCGAGGGTAGCGAAAACAAATACAGAACCTGCAATGAGTGTTACATACCTCAGCATGTTTTGGTAGGTTCCTCTGGTGGAAAAGCCCTCTATGGAACCCCTGAACAATCCTGGTGGGAATAATTGTAGTTACTTTTTGCATTCCTTTGCAATAAGATTAGGCTTCCTGATCCACAGGAACAGTTAATGTCCAGTCATTTTGCCAGTTTAGGGCAACTCAGCAGGTACTACAGAGAGGAAAGATGACGTGACTAACTAGTGTGTTGGTACCACTATGTGCAGTGTGACTAATTTGCTTTGTCTGTGACATCTTCAGGTTTCATGAAGCAACTTATCTTACCAGGGCTTTTAATAGCGAGCCTGACTGCCAACCTGCTGTTCGCCTGCCTCTGTATGTACTACTACTGGAGATGAACTGCTAACAGGTCTGCTGCTGCAGAGTGAGCCAGCCTCTGTCCCTTGACAGCCCTGTCTTGTCTGTAGACCTGCACATCCTTCATAAATGCCAGGAAACATATTTCTGGCAGTTGTTTAGAGGTGCTTAGTAAAACTACAGATGTCATTGATTGGGTCTTCAACAGTGTACCAACAGCAAGTTAGGGGAAAAAATGTTGGGTGAGATCAAATGCTGTTTAAAAATATTTTGCCTTTTGTGATCTGGCCTCATTTATCTTTTGGTTTGTCACTGCTCCTTGTCACATGGACACAGGTATATGTGTGACTCAATCTAAACGCTCAGTTCTTGCCCTGATACTTGATGGGTTTTTACAACCCATGCTGTGAAATGTGCAATAAACATGTACTGTTTAGTTGATGCTGCTTGGACACTAGAGGGTCGTGGCTTACCTACTTACCATAAATTCTCATACAAAAGCCGGTGTCAAAATAGTAGAGTCTCAGATGGTATCAGGGGAGTAGCAGCACAAGGAAATAAAGGCAGTTGGTCGGTAATAAAGGCCAAGCAAAATAAACACTTTGAGGGGCTTGCCTCTGCAGCTCGCATGGTGAATTCAGTCTGATTACCACACATGCTACTGAGAACTGTTTCAAACTTAACAAACAATGGTTTCATAGTCTAATTGTAGTCGTTTCTTCTTTGGTGTACTCCTGATCAATGTTAAACTACTGTTGTAAAACACTACACTTCCTGGTTTCTTCCCCACATCCCGCACCCCCACATTATCAGCGTGGCATGTCTCTTACTGTACTAATGTGGAAATGGACATTATACTGAACGTATTAAGATGAGGTAAATATTGAACAGGCTTTGAGATTGGTCTGGTTCTCTCTGCCACTGAGGTGGTTTGAAACAAAAGCCCTGGCCACTATTTGAGAGTTTCCGCTATGCTTACCTCTCCCAAATGAATAACGTTTCTGGTACTCAGACAGGTAAACAGTGAAAGGCAGTAAGCAGCATGGTGTGTTTGTGGTTTACTGGTATGGTTCTACTTTTTTTTTTTTTTAAGTGTGTACAGATTTTTATTTTTGTAGTGTGATAACTAAGGAGGAGTGTTGTGCCAAACTCTGTCCTGGTGTGCTATTTTGTTACAGAGTTGACACTTGACATTTTTGATGTCCTGGCCATTTATTTATATCTTATACCAAAGTGTCGCATGTCATTTACTACAGAAACATTTCTCTTTCTTCAAACCGTTTTGTTTTGTGATATCTCTTAGTGTTATCCTGTTTATGGCTATTAGTAATGTGTAAAATCCCCAAAGTCAAGTGCAATATAAAAAAAAGTTTTCAATTTATAAAGAGAGACCATGACGTTTCCATAAACAAGGCACAGAGTTTCATGTAGGACTTAAATGAGCTATAAAATAATGTGTAAAGGACATTTCTTACAACTTCAAATGCTACATGTTTGAAATATTTTTGCACTTGTTCTTTCCAGGTTTTGTGTTTGGTTTGGTTCAGTTGTATTTTTAGTATGTTAGATGAAATTTGTTGTACTTGAGATGAAGAGCACAGATGTTTGTGTGGATGTTGAATATGTTGACGTGAAGTTGTCCAATTGGATGCCTGTATAAACAGGTTACAGTTAGCTTGTGTGTTTGAATGAGCATGCATTTTATTTTTGAGAGGAATGTTTTGTTCTCTGCTAATTTGAATCTGTGGAAATTAACAATATTATAATGAATAGTAATGTTTTGTTTTAAGCTGCTGTAACCTTTGATACAGACTTGTGCATTTGTACTTGATGTGCAACCTGGCAAATGTTGATTATCTGATGAACTCATTAATTGAAAATTTTCAATGTTTTCTTTCAGTCATGCTGAATTTTCCTGAAAAGAGAAACCTCATTTTTCATTTAAAAGAAACTTATTTTTGAAATTGTTTTTATGGTGTAACTAAAGTTTATTGTGGTTTTTTCCCCCACATTAAATTATATTAAATCAAAATTGTTAATTTCAGACACTTTGACAAGAAGTGTGACTCTTTAAAATATGAAGGTGTGCCCTGTAAAAATTTTACCTATGGTTCTTACTCCACTACATTGCAATGCAAATGTTTGTCTGCAAAAGCTTTTTTGTGTGTGACTGTAAGGAACAACATTGACTTGTTGCATCTGGACCAATATCTTTTGAATAAAAAGGGTTTTTCTATTTATTTTTGAGTTTTCAGTATCTGCTCTGTCCAGGTACAAAAATTTGTTTTGAGGTGCTAAGTGTGAACTTGGTAGATGCTCTGCAGGCTTGGCTAAACACGCCCCCTTCTGGCACCAACAGCACATTGAATCATAAATCATCTTCAGTGAACATTTCAGTCTGATGGCCGGCCTAGTAAATTGAATGTTTTCCTCACTGAGTTTTCATTGAAAGCTTCAGAAAGACACTGATGACAGAGGGAGCAACTATACAGTATACTCGTATGAGAAGTACCCACACCTTTGCAGAGGGAAAAGAAGCAAATACAAGCCCCGCAGCAAACACATTAAAAATAAGCATTTCTTCAAATGTTAATGTATTGTTGCTTTTAGTTTATGAACTTAGATGTTAACTAATTATGGCATGCATATAAAACTGCAGGTCTGCTGGGCAGAAATTCAAAGATAAACCATATGAGTGAAAAGGAGTTACAGGAAGGTTTAGCTGACACAGGTGCACTGTTCACTGTGCTGCGTTCCTGTATGAACAGGGACTTTTACCTTCAGAGGGGAGTTTTTCATACCATTATTAACCACATTACTCTTTTCAAATGAAGAAGGCCCAAGCCCAACCTTCAGCCTTGGTTGAATGATAGCGCTGAGGGAACAAAAAAGGGAAGCTGTGAATCTGGAAGAAGAATAAAATGGCCTACAAATCTTGATTTTTTACCAGTAATATCCTAGAGTGAATTTGTGTGATATATACTTGCTGTACACCGAGGATCCTTGTGAATAAGCATTTTGGCTGTTGTTTTAAATCTGTGTCTTTTTAGGACTAGTTCCTGTGAAAGGAAGTCCTGCCCTCTACATCGTCTTAAGTTTTTTGCACATTAATTAGTGGCGCTACCAGTCTTTAAAACAAAGTCTGCAACCATATTAGTAACTCTGTGAGGCTGAATTTAGGTAGCAGGGTCAGAACAGTGCTTGTCCAGGAAGTTAAGACCCCGTCTTCTTATTCCCCCCAACAGAGCTGCGGCTAAACCCACAAACAGTAAACAGGTCTCACATCTGAACACGACCAAACTGTTAGTATGTGTTCTCTCACTGTCAGAGTAAATCTATTGTCGTAAATATTTGGTGTTTTCTTGCACTGAAGCTAATGATTCTGGTGATGGCTGCATATATGTGTAGTTTTAAATAACAAGCTGTTATTGTAACTGATTTCTTTAACCTACTACAGGTATACTTGCAGTTTCATTTAAATCCCAGCACAGTGCAAAACTCTATAACCCTTATGCATACAGTATTACATGGAGTCCTAGCTTGAGTTCCAAAACAGCAGTTAAAGCAGTTATAATTCTTGTTAGACACAGCTTAAACAAGGTTCAACTCTGTACCTTGTTTACTGACAGGTTCTTGGTTTTTCTTTTTTGGTTTACAGTTCAAAATAGTTCACCGAGTGATCAAGGACAGGGGGGGGGGTGTTAGGTTCATATTTTCAGTCTGCAGCTCTGGCCAAAAGTTTCTCTTCTGCACAGTCACTTCCTGTTTTCACCAGCTGGTCTGAAGTGCACTCATAAACACATCTTGTGTTTTGCAGAATACTTGAAAGAAGCCTGCCTGATCTCATGTGCTCATGGTAGTAGCCTCTAAGACATGATACAACAGGAAACCAATCTTTTCTCAGGTACTAGGCCACCAAAACTCAAAGTACACATGTAGGATTAACACCTGCAAACCAAACTGACAAATAAACTTAACTGAATTCTTGCAATGTCTTACAAAGGCATGGAGTGGCATAAATATCACAATAAAAAATAACGTACTTTGTGCATGAAATAAATAGGTGTATTGTCATGCTGAAGATGTTGGCCCCTCGGTTTCCCCTTTCTGCTGTACTACTACTGTGGTTTATGTCCCACTTCTATGAGAGCGGTGTCATTGTTCATTACCTGCTGCGCAACCAAAATTGACAATGGTCTTTTGGTTACCATGTGGAAATATGAAAAAGGAAGGCAAGTTTCCCATTGGAGACTTTCAGTTTCATAAAAGACATCCATGTGAAAACTCTAACAAAATAAACTTCACTGTGGGTCATTTTGAACATTAGGGATCATCTGAAGACAACACAATATTTAGGAAACAATTTCATTTTTCACAAAAGTGTATTTGTTTTTACATGATTATTTATTTACATTTTGGAATTTACAAACTCATACACAGACCTGAATTTAACCAAAAGTCATTTGTCAAATTGTCACTGTCAATAAAATCTATAATTTTTCATTACTAAAAGCTTCTCCCTCAGTAACAAGAGGTTTGTTTGTTCACAGCCGTGTTACACAGGGCTGGACTTTCTTAAGTCACACTGTAGTTACCTGGAAATGTACTTAATCTGTTGTAGACTTCTGTTTTATTTAGGGTCACAGTGTTTTAGACATGTGAAACCTGCAGTTCTATGAAGAAACAGAAGTAAAAAAGTATTTATAGTACTTTTATCTCTGTAGACCACATTGTCATTCAGTTTATGAAATAGGTGACAGCGCCCTTTCTAATTTCCCAGAGCCCAAGGTCGCGTTGAAATACCTTATTTTATCTAACAGTCCATATCAACTACTGTTCTTCAGACGTTAAGTGTGTTCTCTTCCATTTGATTCCAGGTTACCCATCTGTTCCACTACATTTCAGAATGAAATACTGTACTTTTTACTATACTACATTTATTTATTGTGATAAACACTTGCATACAAAACATCTGATGAGCCTATAAAATATGAAGTAGTATTCTGGATCTGCTAGATTTGCTTTACATTTATAACATAGATAGTTGCACCTAGACTGACTACAACAGTAAAATGCCATTTACACATGAATAATAATTATTAAGTATAATATCTACAGGGAGCATTTTTCTGAACTGGGTCATTTTACTTTTGATATTTCTAGTAATTTTTACTCATAATACTTCTGTACTTTTGTTCAAATGAGATTTTCAAAACATGACATTAAATTGCTATTGTTTTATACTACTTTTCTTAATTAATATTCCCTCCACCACTGTCCACAACCTAAACATATTCCGTTTTTGTCATAAATGACCAAGAAAAGCAGCAAAAAATTTTGAGAAGCCGGGAGTCACTTTTTATATTCTTACATGAAAACGTGTAAATGACATTTACTCCTCCCAGTGCACAAGTATCTTTAGGGGAGGTAGAGAGAAGAACTGACTTTCACTTCGTACGGATGAAACTTTTGGTGGACGGTCCCTTGGCCCTCGGGAGCGGGAGAGGCAGAGCGCAGCTGGTCCGTCCGGGTCAGTGAACGCAACAGCATCACTGCATGAATGACAGCGCACTTGACCGACGCAGGGAGACACTTCGTCACCTTACACGAATCGAGAGAGCGCTTCGTCCGTCTGAGCTGGATTTATTACACCTCAGCTCACTTCACGGATCGATTCGCAACCCGCAGCCACCGGAGCAGGACGTGTCACCGTAGTGATACAGCCTCCATCTTCGCTGTGACCAAACCATGAAGAGATGACCGGCTGTAGAGCTGACAGGCAAGTGTTTGCGCTAACAGGTTGGCAAGGCTTTCGCCGTGACATGTATGTAACCGTCAAGTTTTATTGAACACAGCATGATGTCACGTTTAATGTCTTACGGTTACACTGCAGTGTATGCTATGTTTTCATTTCCTATTCCAGATTTCAAACATTTTTTTCATTTATTACGGTCTGAAAGACCCATTCTGCGGATATTCTAAAGTTAATTCAATTGCATTTTATATACACAGTAGGTTTATGTTTTTAGCGGCTTATATTCATGTCAGACAATGTCTGACATTAAGCTACAGACAATCCAGCTCATGCAGCACAAGTTTCCTCTTACCAAAATCAATAGTGTAGAATTACTTTAAGGCTAACAGTTGGAAATTACACTCAAAGTCGACTGTTTTCTGTCTGCAGGAAGCCACACATCAAATTTCCAAATAACCTATTGTTTTTTGTTTTTTTTTTGCATTGTATAGACTATAATTTAAGCAGCTGAAGTTCCTTGTAGTGCGTCTTCACCTTCTTTGACCTCTGTGAAATGAGTACACATCCTTCTGACAGAGCATTCAGTCTGTTAAGGTGGAAGTGTATGAATTCATACGAATCAATAAACTGCAGTTTACTGACAGCAGCACTCCAAAAACACAAAAATGTCAAGACTGTTGTCTAAGACTGCATTTCAGTATCTTATTTACTATATGTTCTTTTAATTACTTTGAATTGGCCTTCACTGACTGAGCAGTGAGGAGATGGAGGAAGGGATCAGGTGCAAGTACAGTACATCTTCCACTACAGGCTGTTGTTTATCAGTCATGTCATTTATTGGTCATTAAAATTCTGTATGTCTTTCTTGATTTCAAAGAACCTCATAAAGACATATGATTCAGGGTTTTAGGAACAAACATAGTGATACTTCACCGACAAACACACCGCTCACATACATGTACAGTAATGCATTAGTCCTGGACATATTAACCTTCTCTGTGTGGATGGCTGTGTGTTTTCCGGTGAGCAGTAGTGGAGCTGACGGTAAATGAGAGGCCATCACCATGCCCCCGGGGAAGTATGGGATGCAGGAGGAATGGGAGAAGAAGGGGGACCAGGAGATCATGATGGACTTCCTGCTGCCTACTGGAATCTTCCTCAAATTCCCTGTTTCTCGAAACGACACCATCAAAAACATCAAAAAAGTACGTCCCCTCATATCCCAATGTATCCAGCAATAACTGTTTGTTAAAAATTAGGTAAACCTTGATTTCCCAGTGATACATGATATCATCATATATATCGTATATTGTATGACTCTATTTCTACCAGATTGTAACTGATTGACTGCAGCACAATGCTGTGGCTCTGATGACTCCGATAGTTGCAAAATGCTTCGTTATTTACAATATTTACTCAGTAGGCTTTTAAACAAATTGGGTGACTATTTCTTAAAGACATTAGACTAATTAAAAGATCTCATAGTCTGAACAATACTTGCTTGTGCTTTGGGCCCATCTTGAAATTTTTGATGCAGCTATTAGAGAAGGAGCTACAGCTTTTCTGCTTGATAGACCGAGCCAGCTCTCTGCTGAAGCAGATCTGCTGCTAAATGTGAATGTGTCATTGAATGTGTTAGTTTCTATGCCAACAGTTCTTCCACTTCAGGCTGTTCCTTTTAGCTGTGTTAACTGACTAAATGATACTCTTGAAAGCAGTTAAGATTATTTAAAGATTAAATGTCTTTCTTAAATGTTCAAAAACAACCTCTTATTTTTTGCCCAGTAGGTTATCATCTTAGGTCAATAAATCTAAAAGAGAAATCAAGAGTGGTGTTTTGTTAAATAATTCTTGTACTTGACCCCTCAAGCATAAATTTGACCTGCCAAGAAAACACGCTGTACACTTCAGGTCATAAACTCTGTCTCATGTATTACTGTTGTTTCTTGTTTCAGCTGGTTTGGAAAAATGCCAGAAGCGAGGCTCTGTTCAGTGCACTGGGTGATCCTGACGCTTATGTCTTCACCTGCATCAACCAGACAGCAGAAAGGGAGGACCTGGAGGAAGAATCGAGGCGTATTAGCGATGTGCAGCCCTTCATGTGTGTGCTGAGGCTTGTGGCGAGGGAGGGCGACCGAGTGGAGAAACTCACCAACACTCAGATCAGCCTGCTAATTGGCAAAGGTCAGTAGCATCCTTCTCTAACAGCACTGACCTGCTATATAAAACAACTTGTACAGTGGTTTTGGTCTCAACTGCTTTCTTGGCACCTTTCTTGTCAATCTTTTTAGTGGCCATTTTTCAGCCTTTGAACAGAAAGGTGGCGCTTACATTCTTAATCCCTCATATGAAACTCTGATCGCCTTAGTTGTTTTTCCAGCCAGTTGAAAGAGCCATTGCAAAAAACATGACAGCATAATTTAAATGGATAAAAAAATAAAAATGATGTGACAATGCGGAGTTAAAACCTTAGGCGGAACAGATTTGACACCTCGTTTTGTGAGCCATTAGCAAAGTTAGCAAACTAACACTTGCCATTAGTAAAGTTTTGCTAACTTTGCTCATTGCCAGTGTTAACTTGTTAACACTTGAATGAAAAAGAAGGAATTCAGAACAGTAAATGCATTCTTCTTTTCCTTTTCATTCTGGCATTGATTATATTGGAAAGTTGGTAAGTTGCTACCTAGCTATCAGCTAATGTAGCTTACTTGAAAATGGAGCACAGCTAGGCTAACTAATGCTAATTCAACTTTTCTCATAATATTTCTGCCTTCAGTTAGTTTTTATGACCAAGTTTATTACTTCATAATATATTTATAATATACTCTCCCTTTTCACTGGGCTTCTAAGCACCAGTTTTATGCATCTTTGAGTTTCAGTTAATAAAAACATGGCCAGATCTGCCTCTGAGTAACAGTTTTTTGTAACAATGAGTCAAGTTTCTCTCACTGTTGAAGACTTTGATGCTTTGATGATGATTTTTCAGGTTTGCATGAATTTGAGGCCCAGAAGAACCATGAGGTGAATGAGTTTCGAAGTAAGATGCGTACTTTTTGTGAAGAGAAGGCTCAAGAGCGGCAGAAGTGGCCATGGTACCTTTGGCTGAAGTACAGCTTCCCATGTGACCTGGAGCCATGCTGCTCTCTGCCAAGCACCAACTCAAAAAACACCAAGAAGATTTTTGTCAACATCAAGTTTGAGGCTTGTGATGTGAGTTGATCTGCTGATGTAGTTTTTATGAGTCATATTTTTAAAGGTTGTTAAGACAAATCAAATCAAGCCTTATGATACAATGGGGTAGCAGCAGGGAACTCATCGAAGAGCACAATAGATTTGATTGGAAAAACTGTGGTTCCATCTTGTGTTGACAAATTGTGGAGGATGATTTTAAGTAAATGTGAGCACCTTTGGAAATCCTCCTCCCACATCACACACACTACATCACCCAGGAACAAGATCCACAAACTTGAAAGCTATAATTTGTACAATTTTTTCTAAAGCTGGCATGTTTATTTGAATTATACTTTCTTTTGCTCTCACAGGAAAGCTTCATGCTGCAGCAGGATCCTCAAGACCTTCCAGTGGTCTTGATGAAGAGCGCCTTGAAGAAAAAGGCCACCGTCTTTCGCTCAGTGAGACAAGAACCCAAGGACTACACCTTACAGGTCAATGGGATGTGGGACTTCATTTATGGGAATCACCCCCTGTGCCAGTTCAAAGTGAGTGACCTCAGCTACAGCCTCTTTGAGGAGAGGCAGCTCTGTGTGGAAGTACAGTTTAAAAAAAATGTTTTAAATATCATTTTAATTGGAAAATTCAAAGTAAATCTATGAACAAACCTTTACAAATGACTGTTGAAACAAAGTCCAAAAAAAGTGTTCAGCCTTTAATGTCAACATGAAGTAGATACAGTATTCACCTTTGGCAACATTTACAGCCTTGAATCTATCAGAACAATATCTGCTCTGCACATTTGGACACCAACTTTAGTTCTGGATTTGGACATGTGGGTTTTAGCACTGCTGTTTTGAAGCAGTCCCTGTGTTGTGTTGCTTGAGAATCACTCTTTTCACCAGGCTCAGCTCTCATTCCGACTGGAGCCGGTTTTCCTGTATGCATTTTACTGTCTCCTCTCCCTAGCCGTCCAGGTCTGCTGCACAGAAGCATCCTTACAACACAATGCTACCACCACACAATACTTTATGACTGTGATGCTGTGTTTCTGCTGGTGTGTGACAGTTTGATTGTGCCATATAGTGATTAGTATGATGAGCAAAAAGATCAATTTTGGTATCATTAGACTAAAACTTCATCCACCTTTTTTTTCTGACGTGCCACCAGACAAACATAACCACAGATGTCATGTAAAGTTTTTCCCAACAGTCGCTTTCATTTGCCTTGAAGATGTGACTCAGTGATGGCCATCTCATGTGGACACTCAGATTTTTTCTTGTCTCCTTCCCCTGACCGCTATTTTAATACATCCTTGCCACTGATTTGGTTAAAATCTGCCTTTGTCATCATTATAAAAAACAACTAATGCATGATGCCTTTCAGATGCAGCTGGACTTTACCACTCAAAAATCACTTGATGATTTTTAGAGGTGTCACTGTAAGTGGATGAAAACGTATGCCATTAATCATGAAATTAATTATGAAATCAAGCTGTTAAAACCTATGCAATCAATGAATTTTACTGTATTTAGATACATTTGTGGAGATCTTTTGATCTGGGTCAAAATGCCTAATTACATTCACCACGTGAAAAGTAGTCAACTTTTTGTAGGTGCTATATTACTGTTCTTTTCTCAGTGCATGTGGATGATCATCCGCTCTGCTGTTCTGCTGTTTATGAATTTTGCCATGTGGAGGTGATCCATTATTACTGAAATGCATGTCAGATCAGGAGTGGGGTGAGTTAAGATTTTGGTGGCAGGAGACTCCACTGTTGATTTTGAAACTCCATCTACCTGCAGGGGTGACTCATATCTATCTAGCAGCCCAGCAGAAAGGAACTGCATCCATCCACACATAATCACATTTCAGCTGCATTAACCTACAGAAAATGAACAGCCTGCAGGAGTTTACCAGTGCTATCAGAACACTGGGAAATATCCATGGGTGAACAGACTGATGTCTGTGTCAGTAAACAAAAACTCTCTTCTTTTGTCCCCTCCTGTCTGTCTTTTCTTCTCCCAGTACATTTTCTCGTGTTTAAGAAATGGCCAAAACCCTCACCTAATCATGGTGCACCACTCCACCATCAGCAAGTATCAGGAGGAGCAGGGCATATGCAACCAGGTATACAAGAGCCGCTCCCTGTCCAGACCCCCTCCACTGCCTCTGAAGAAGGTAAGAGGTCAGCGGGCAGCTGTTGTCTCTCATTAACAGAGCAGCGCTCTTGCATTCTCTCTCTTCCATCTCTCCCTCTCCCCATCACAGTTGTACCGCAACCACTTTGTCACACTTGAAACATGCTATGCAGCACAGTGTAGATAATATAGAGTGCACCTTTGTTTGCCTTTAATGTATTTGAACATACAGTAGAGTACAGCCTTGGAACTGCACTGGCAGAAAAAAAAACTATAGCTTTTATCGGAAATGACTCATGAATGAAGAAATCAGAACTATGAACAAACAATAAAATTATGTTTTTTAGACCTATCATAGCACCTTCATCTGCTATTTTCCTTAAGTTTCAAAGCTTGTTCCCTTTTTTACTTTCTTTTAAAACTGTACATTGTTGTGCTTCTATCTTCTGACATGTTACCAAACAGGAAGTTTCTTGACAGTTTCATGACTTTCGACTTCAGTGAGTGCTAGGAAAAAAGCAATCTTAATTTAAAGAATGAGAGGGAAAATTCAAATTTCCTTTCGTCTGATTCCTTCCTACAGCAGAATACGTCCTCTTTGTGGTCCATCAATGAGCCTTTCTACATTCAGCTACTGCAGGGCATTCGAGTCAATGCAGACGAAGGGATGAAGGTCGGTGTGGTTTTGCATGGGTTTTCTCTCACTTTGCTGCTCAATGAAATGTGGCATTCACTTGTTTACCAATATCTCAATTTCAGTTGTAGGAACAGTTGACATGCAAATGACAGGGGGTCACATGGTCCAGACCACACGTTTCCCATAATTCAGCAAGACAGTTGGTTAAAACTTCAAAACAGGAAGTGGGAAAGGCCTATCTGGTTTTTATGTCTCACTCACAGGCCTAGATTCTAAGAAAAAAGGCAGACTTGATGCTGTCTCTCCTTCACTCGCTTTCAGTGCACTTCTTTTTTTTTTGAAGGAGATGCATACACTGTTAGTATTGCAGACCCTGACCTATGTTGAAATTGGACAAGTGGCAGTGTTTCTTAAACATGAGATGTTTCTCTGTAAATAGCGTGCAAAAACATCCAGAAATACCCAGTAATTCTTCATTTTGTTTTCACCTAACTGGACAAAAAAAAAAAAATTGTCACAATAAGTGTCTGTGTTTGTGATTCAGTTCCATAACTAACTATGTTACTGTTTAAATTGGTTATTAAGTGTAAGTGCACTTCCTTCTGGTGCCTCGGAGCCTTCATCATGACTCATCTCAAATTTGTGCTGTCCCATAATTATCAGTTATGTCTGCAGTAGGTAGGCAGAGATTAATGGTCATACAATAATGTATTTTGTATGACCATTTTACTGTGTCTTGGTTTTGTTATTTTTCACAGACTCTGCATGGCACTGAAAGACATTGTGACCTGCTTACATTATGAATGTGTAAACCCTTTGACTCATAGCCTGAGTGACACAGGAAAAACTGAATCATCTAGTGAAGTCTCTACATCTTCCACAAACAATCTCCCTCACAGATGTGCTAAACTCTTCAGCTTCCAAATCACCTGCCATGCCTTCATCAAATCACTAGTGTATATGTGTGTTTTCCCTCCAGCTCGTGGTGCAGGCTGGTCTGTTCCATGGCAGTGAACTGCTCTGTAAGGTGGTGACGAGCTCGGAGGTCACAGTGTGCTCTGAGCCGCTGTGGGATCAGAAGCTGGAGTTTGACATAAACGTGGCTGACCTGCCCCGCATGAGCCGCCTCTGCTTTGCACTCTACGCTGTCATCGAGAAAGCCAAGAAACCCCGCGGCACCAAAAAGAAAAATAAGAAAGCGGTGAGTCCGATAAAACCTTGTGCTGTGTTTTTTTTTGGTGTTCGTGTACAACTTGTGATTAAGCAGGCGAGTGATGGGCTGGTGGGTGTGAATTTGTTAGCAAGCACAAACAGATCTGTTTCCTCTCTAGTGTGTAGTGCGTGTAGTCGGTGTGCGCTGTGTGGGTGTGTTTTGCTGCTGCGTCTGGTTGTGCAAGTGTATTCAGTGGCAAGGCTGTGGTTAACATTTCATCCGCTTCAGCCCTTTTATCTGTACAACGCTCCAAGTAAGGAATTGACATACATTTTCAAGGAATTCTAAATTCATCTTCAGAGTCGCAGTTCCTATTTACAGTATTCCAGCTCACTCAGCATTTATCTTTTAATTTACTTACTTATTTATTTACTGGAGGCCTAAAACTTTGCAAAGCTATTCTCTGCCACTGTTATTGTTCTCAAATTTGGGACACTTTGCATAAAAGTCTATAGACTTTAATCAAGAGCACACCCCATGCTCAGTATTTATGTGGCAAATAGATAATTTGTATATAATTCTACATGATAGGCAGTGTATACAACAAAAAAAGGTAAAGGAGTTTTTAAGGAGTAAGGGTGGGAGAGGCAAACCATTAATGATGATAATAATAATATTTCTATGGTCCAGCACAGAGACATGATTGCATGATAGTTTCTTGTCCTGTTAAGAGAAACACATTTTATTCTGACACAAAAAACCTTGTTTTATCTTTAGTTTCTCTGCCACTTGGTCCACATCAAATCTAAAAGTACTATCCACATTATCATTTCTTTATCACACTGAATTTGGTTTAATTAAGTGTACTGTATGAATAGCAGGTAGATGTACAGCTGAAATGTTACAATTAGGCTTAGATTTTTAATTTAGATGCATTACAGCTCTGTTGGTGAAATTGTATAATGTTTGTAAATTGAAATTGTTCAAGAATGGTGCCTTGTGGCACCCTAAGTTATTACTGGTGAAGCTGATTTGACATCATCGGTACAGGCAGTCTGGGAGCTCTGTGAGACAAATGTGCATGTAAGCAGACCTGAACACGATCATCCAGCCCGAGACAAGTCGGTTTGTTTGGTGAAAAGACACTGATCAGTGCCAGCTATAGATAATATTAACATTTAGTTTGACAGTAACACAGTTTTTCAATTTAAAACATTTAGTATTGGACTGATTAGTTGATTGACAGACAGTTGATGACTACTTTGATTATAAACTAATCATCATTTCTTTAAAGAAAAATTACAAATATTTGATGGTTTCAGCTTTGCAAGGGAGACTGTTTGCTACTTTTCTCTATTTTATCTTTTTGTAAATTGAATATCTTTTCATCTTAAACAGCTGGTTGGACAAAATAAGCTCTTTCTATTCCTTTTTTTTTCACTTATCCTAGACTAGATTATTATTTGGTAATAAAATATTAGTATTAGTTAGAGCTGTACTTACATGTATTCATTTAAGAATCAATATGGTACTTCATGCCACCTTTAGTAGCACTAATAATACACCAAGAGAAGCACATAGAGTTTACGGACTTGCCATCATCTTGCTTTTTACATTTTTTTTATTTATTTCTGTTTTATGCACAAAATTGAAACACTGTGGGGCTTCTTTGGAAAGACCCTCTCTGTGCCCACTGTCTGCACATTTAGAGATACAGTGAACAAGAATAAATTCCCCTTTTTGTGTGGGTGTAGTCTCAGGGTCTTTTGTTTTGGAGTGTTCTGGGTTTCGCTGCTCTGGCAAACATATCTGGGCAGACATGGTGGCCAGGTGTGTTTCATGGGCATTGACACCACTTCTGCTTTCTGAGCCACTTCTCTCTTCTTTTGCCCGGAAGAGAAGTCCTACAGCCAAATGCCAGAAAGAGAGACGGAAGTTGAGATATTTTACCAATTCTTATTTATGGGTGGTGCCTCTGTTTTTAGCTGAGTGATTTCAGTCTGTGTTTGCGTTTTGTTTCTAAGGCATTGGATGGTCACATTTTTTTTCTGCTGAACTCTGCCTGGAACTTATTTCTATTTATGCTGCTTTGCATTCCAACTTTATACATAATACTTCATGTATTTTACTAGAAGCTGCAAATTTCACACATTTATTATTTAACATAATGAATTATAAAGTAGAAGTTGCCACAAACACACTTTAAACTTTTTTATGTTATTAAAATGTTTTCATATTATTATTTAAGCTAAATTGAAATTAAACTCCAGAATAATGTATGTGTGTTGTACAAAAGAGTGTTAATAATAATATGTTTTTTAGATTAATTGATGAAAATGTTTTAACTTTAAAGAATCCTAAAATGATCTTTTGGGTGTTATAAATATGAATTGACTGTTATTTTTACTTTTACACAGGAAAAGAGCAGATAGATGTTAAAACAGATGCAGAGATCTGATTTTATATCTCAGTTTATAAATCTATTTTCAACTATCCATCCATTTTCCTCCGCTTATCCGGGACCGGGTCACGGGGGCAGCAGTCTAAGCAAAGATGCCCAGACTTCCCTCTCTCCAGACACTTCCTCCAGCTCCTCCGGAGGAATGCTGAGGCGTTACCAGGCCAGCCGAGAGACATAGCCCCTCCAGCGTGTCCTGGGTCTTCCCCGGGGTCTCCTCCCGGTGGGACATGCCCAGAACACCTCCCTAGGAAGGCACCCAGGAGGCATCCGAAACAGATGCCCGAGCCACCTCAGCTGGCTCCTCTCGATGTGGAGGAGCAGTGGTTCTACTCTGAGCTCCTCCCGGGTGACCGAGCTCCTCACCCTAGCTCTAATTTTGTTGTAACTGAGAAAATGGGGGTGGTTAGAGAGACTTTTAACACTATTCCTTTTTCTTTCTTTTTTTAGTTCAGTCTCAAACACACCTGCACAGTTTCTAACTGCTCACAGATGGTCTGTAAAGCAAGTCAGCAAATCTAATTCTCCCAGTCCTTCTCTCTTTCCTTTCAGGATTGTCCAATTGCCTGGGTGAACACGATGGTGTTCGACTACAAAGACCAGCTGAAGACTGGAGAGTTCCTCTTGTCCACTTGGCCATCTGTTCCTGGTACTTTCAGCCTTGCCTCTTTTTACATTTTCTTCTCTTCAAACACCTCAAATGATAACGGCCTGCTCCACAGCGCCTGACAGCTCTCAGCGAGGACTGAGATCCCCAAAGTGACATCAAAACATCACATATTTGCACATTATATGTTTATGTGTCATGTTATAGGAAATGGCTGTTACTTTTTTGTTGACAACCCTTCAGCACTGGCTGTAAAGTAGGGCTGTGTGTTAACACTTTGGCTGTCGTGTCAAATGATTTTATCTTGCTCTGCGGTTTGATAGTTATACATGCATTATCATGCTTAGAGATTTGAAGATGAAAATGTACTCACGAAATGGATAAATGCATCTACCAAATGGCATATATCATTTATGACATTTTTGTTACAGATGAAAAAAGTGACCTGTTGAACCCAATGGGAACAGTTGAGAAGAACCCAAATGTGGACAGTGCTGCAGGGCTTCTCATTCGCTTCCCCAACATCCGGCCATATCCTCTCTATTACCCTCCGCTTGACAAGGTACTTATTCCAAAATGTATATACTGAAATTTTAATTTGTGCTGGTGTCAGTCAAAAAAAATCTCATGTCTTTTTAGGTAAGTGAAATAGAGAGGAATGGTGATATATCAATTGCCACTAAAGAAGAGGTGAGACTTCCTACAGCTCACATTTTACTATTTCCACACAGTTAAAGTAAAAGAAAAACAGCTGCTGTTACTTGCTGACCAATTTTTTGTAAATGTTGCTCTCTGCAGTACATAAAACTAAAAGAAATCATGGACAACAAAAACTACACTGAGTTTTTTGAGGATGAGAAGGAGCTTTTGTGGAAGCTACGTGCCGAAGTCTGCAACCATTATCCTGAAAGTTTGTCCAAGCTGCTCCTCATCACTAAGTGGAATAAGCGCGAGGACGTAGTTCAGGTAGAAATGGAGTATTTACCAAGAATATTTTTTCACAAATAATATGTGGTATGTTGGCAGTAATTGCTAGCTTGTTGCTGATTAGCACTACCCATCATGCTGGACAACCAATGTAACAATTATTTAACTGAGTAATCAGTCCATTCAGTCTGTAATATTTTAGAATTAAACTGATAGTGTGCAGCCATGCCAGTCCTTTGAACCAAATGCTAAGCTTATCATGCTAAAATGCTTCATGTTTAGCAGATACTGTATAATTTACTATGTTCGCCATCTAAGTTTAGTGTGTTAGCATGCTAACTAAACAGCACAAAACACCAAGTGCAGCTATTGCTGATGAGAAATATTACTACTTTTGCACTTATTTGGTCATAAATGCAATACAGTTGTTTTCATCATGGTAAAATAATAACCATTTGATGATCCTCAGATGATGAGCCTACTGAGGAGCTGGCCAGACCTCCCTGCCATCCATGCCTTGGAGCTCCTAGACTACAGTTTTCCTGACCCAGCTGTTCGTTCTTTCACTGTGAAATGCCTGAGGAAACTCAGGTACACCAAAATTTGTCATTCCTTATAGCCATCATTTTACATTTCAAATTTTAACTGCATAATCATTAATCAAACCTTTACTCTGCACACAGTGATGATGAACTACTGCAATGCTTAATCCAGCTGGTTCAGGTCCTGAAGTATGAGTCCTACCTCGAGTGTGACCTCACCACTTTCCTGCTAGAGAGGGCTTTGTCTAACAAAAGGATAGGACACTTTCTGTTTTGGCATCTGAGGTTTGACACAATCTAGCAAAAAAATTATGTATATGTGTGTGTTTAAAAAAAATCTTATATATATATACATACACGCACACACACACACACATACACAGAGAAAGAGAAAAAATTATGTGTGTCTGCAGCATTTTGTTTTGTTTGACTGGAGACATTGTGTTCACTGTAGGTCAGAGATTCATGTAGCCTCTGTGAGTTTGCGTTTCGGCCTGATTCTGGAAGCTTACTGCAGAGGAAACATCCACCACATCAGAGGCTTAACCAAACAGGTAATCATCTACAGTATGTATACACACTGATGTTACGCGCTGAAATGTGTGTATTTTGTGCATGTATGTTTTGTCTTTGTTGAGGCTAAAACTCATCCTCTGCCACACAGAATGAGGCTCTTGGCAAAATGAAGGCCCTGAGTGACTTTGTCAAGTCAGGCTCCCAGAAGATGACAGCGGAGGACCTGAAACTGTGTATCAGACAGGAGTCCTACCTGGAGGCCCTGTCAGACCTGCTGTCACCCCTCAACCCTAGCATCATCCTAGCTGAGATCTGGTTAGTGCCAGACACAGCAGACACACATGATATAGAATAATCTGTTTTGCCAGATGCAGTGTTTTGCTTCGATAATCTGATTTGCTTGGGACATTTTTGGTCTCTTTCCGGGTCTATTTTACTGAATGAGTACATGTATTTAACATATTGGCAAAATGTATGTTTAATTGGTACATTACAACTAAAATTTTATTTATAAGCTAATTATACTCAATTTCACACTTATTTCTGACTGCTGAAAACCTTACAGGTGAGGATGGTTATTCTCATCACCTTCATCAGGGATTTTTTTTATAACATGGCTGTTTGTTTATTTCTTTGGCCTGTACTAAATTGTGCTGTTCTGAGTCTTTTACAATGCAACATGTTTTAGAAAAACTGGTATTTTAGATGCATTTTGTCCTTAGTCTTTGTACCTGGCACATTGTTAAGATAATTGTGTTTATAATGAGTGTGGTTACTGTTACAGCGCAGATAAATGCAGATTTATGGACTCCAAGATGAAGCCGCTCTGGCTCATGTATAAGAGCCCCTGGGCTCAACGAGACATGGTGGGCATCATCTTCAAGAATGGAGATGGTGAGACACAAGAAAATCTGAGTACATGGACACATACAGTAGCCACACAACATCAGGATTTAAACTGCAGTTTAGCACCAAAGGGATACATATAAGTGTTAAAATGCTTAGTTAGTTGTATATTAAAAAGTACCATAAAGATAAACATAGTGGGTTTGGAAGGGGGCATCCCCTAAATTCAAAAAGAGGAAGCTTAGAAGTCAAACAGTACAAGTGTGAAAGTTAACATGAAATTTAAATTTCATATATCACTTGTAACAATAATATGAAGATTTATAGTTGTTTTTTAAATTTCACCTTTTTTTTCACTCATCACCTTTAGATCTTCGACAAGACATGTTGACCCTCCAGATGATCCAGCTCATGGAGAATTTATGGAAGAAAGAAGGCCTTGACCTCAGGTACAGTGGGAGCAGTTGTTTTCAGCAGCTGTTGATGCTTCTGCATAAGGAGATCTAAGCTTCTGCAACAACCTAATGCTGTCAGTTTCACCCTGCACTCACAGGATGATCCCATATGGCTGCTTGTCCACTGGGAACAAGACAGGGCTCATCGAGGTAGTAAAGAACTCCGATACCATTGCCAATATCCAGCGCAACAGCAGTAACAGTGCTGCCACTGCTGCCTTCAACAAGGACGCCCTGCTCAACTGGCTTAAATCTAAGAATCCTGAGTGAGTGTGATGAACTACTTTGACATGGTGGTAACTCTTGGAAGCCTTAAAATGTCATTGTCTACTGTATAGATATTGTATTGATCTGTAGTGATTGTACTGATTTGTTTTTTGAGTTATTGCAAACAACACTGGTTTTTCCCATATACTTCTATGCAGTAACAAAAGCTTGCATCAGTCAAGATGTAATTTTTCACCTAATATACAGTATGCATAATATGCTTTAGCTTTATTTGATAAAACAGGTGCAGGTTTTACTCAACAGTATGAAGAAAATATTTCTTGCATGGAACATTTCCAGACTGTGTGAGACAAAGGTGATTATACCTTCACTCACATTAAACGAGAGTAGGTTTTCATTTGGTGCCAGACAGTTTGAAGGTCTTGTCTATTCTAAAAGGCGCAGTCAAGTGGGAGAACCATTCAGTATAAAGAATAAGCCTTTGTACATCACGTTGGGCAGACAGCCCAGCTGACTGCACGACAGAGCAGAAAGGTAATTAGCTTGAAATGCTGCAGCACCCAAAATGGAGCAGAGAAAATTAGTACAAGCTTAACACAGTGAACCCCTCGCCCATGTAGACCGTGAAAGGACATGACAGTCAATCATTATTTGGGCACAGGAACTCCTCTGTGAACATTTCATGTAGCAGTGAGGAAATCCTGCCTCATGACTGTGGATGTGTGTGTAGTAGTTATGCAGGCATGACAAAGATAAGAGAAGTGTAAATATACTGTAAAAACAAAACCCACTCAAGTTTTACTTCTTTGTTTCTCTGACCTGTTTTGCCACCAGGGACAAACTCGACCAAGCAATAGAAGAGTTCACGCTGTCCTGTGCTGGCTACTGTGTAGCTACTTACGTCTTGGGCATCGGAGATCGTCACAATGATAATATCATGATCAGGGAAACTGGACAGGTAGGGTTTACTACTGTGGTACATTACATCACAACAATTCATTATGACACTGAAACCTACCACAAGGGGGCAATTACACATAAAGAAGGAAATGGACTGCACTTTTAACCCTATACTTGGCTTTACTGGTGCTGCTTCATACAAAAGCAATAATTGTCAGTGAGATAATGTATTACTGAGGGTATGTCAAGGTTTGTGAGTTTCCAATTAGCCAGAAACCTTAATAATACTTAGCTGTGACTTTTAATTTAAATTCTGATTCTGATTATTTGTCAGATTAGATGGTTGTTTTGGAATGAAATCATTCATTTAACACAGCATTTATTGAGTCTTAAAAGAAATATGACTATGGTCATATTCTACCTAACAGTTATTAATCTTTGCTTTTCAGCTGTTCCACATTGACTTTGGGCACTTCCTGGGCAATTTCAAGCGGAAACTAGGGATCAACAGGGAGCGTGTGCCTTTCATCTTGACTTATGACTTTGTCCATGTGATCCAGCAAGGAAGAACAAACAACAGTGAGAAGTTTGAGAGGTACAGTATTCGTGTGTCAATCTGTTTACAAATCTGGGATTCTGTTAATTTATTTTATTACCAAAAGACTGATTATTGTATCTATTTTCAGGTTCAGGGAGTACTGCGAGCGGGCTTATAAGATCCTGTGTCGGAGTGGGATGCTGTTTGTCAACCTCTTTGCTATGATGAAGGCAGCGGGGCTGCCAGAGCTCACCTCCTTCAAAGACATCCAGTATCTAAAGGTATGCAACAATACTGATGGGGATGCTGCTCCTGCTAATGAGGATTGTAATAATAATAACAACATTTTGACTTTTTGTTTTCAGGACTCTTTAGCTTTGGGCAAATCAGAGGATGAGGCACTGAAGAATTTCAAGGTAAAGTTCAACGAAGCCCTGCGAGAGAGCTGGAAGACCAAGGTCAACTGGATGATGCACTCCTTGGCCAAAGATAATAGACCGTGAAGAACACTGACCCAATGAAACCTGAGGACCAGCGGGGGAAAATAGTATGGATTTTAACTTATGGAGCTAAAAGGGAAGAAAACACAATCAAAAACTTTACTTTATTGATGGCATTTAAAGACATTCAGCAAGTGTTTACATCTGACTGGCCTTCCTGTGGTAATTAATGACTAGGTGGAGGCATCCAAAGACAATGAGATAATTATGGAGCATCATTTCAAGACACAGATATTTTCACAGTAAAGGAGAGCCACCACACTCTTCTTGTTGGAATGCCTTTGACTTGGGGCCATATCAAGCCAGATAATAAATGTGCTTTTGATTTGTTGAAATTGTTACTTGAACATCACTTGCTCATGCAAAGGTGTCATAAGTCACTGAAACAGAAGCAGAGAAAGAGAAGAAAACTGCAAGAAAACATTATGGTGATCTTAGATGATACCAGTAAGTACAATAATAGGGCGGTACTTTCACCTGAAGTCTTTTGTATGGTTTACAACCCTCAATGACTGTGTCATTTCCTCACATTTCAACTGCCTCTTTGCAGTTGTTTCTTGTTTTTTAATGTATTTAATTTAATTTGGTAACTATGAAGTACTTACACAAAGTCATGAAGGATAATTTTAAAAAATTTGTGTTTTATTGCTTTGTTGTTTATCTATGTATAATATTGCCTTGAAGTACAGTAGGTTGCCTTTGGAGTGCCAGTAGGCAGGAAGTATTGTAACATTTACAGCTGATTATAAAATGACAAAATAACCTTGACTGGAACCTTTATTTTTTGTTCTGAGACCAAGTGGACCCTTACTAAACAGCTACCACAAATTAATAGAATAGTTTGACATTTTGGGAAATGTGCTTATTTGCCTTCTTGCAGAGACTTTGAGAAGTCTGATACCACTTTCATGCTTGTCTGTGAAATGGGAGGCTGTGCCAGCAGCTGCTTAGCTTAGCTTAGCAAGAGGTAGACTGGAAAAAGGTAGAAACAGCAAACCTGGTTCTGGCAGTTATAAATATAAATAAATCTGCCTACCAGTAACTGTAAAAATGACAACATATTAATTTGTACACCTTAGGGGTGCAGATTGTCTTTACCTTTGGGCACAGCTAGGTTAGGTGTTCCCCTGTTTCCAGTATTTATGCTAAGATAACGTCTCCTGGCTCCAGCACCATATTTTACACAGATTAGGGTGATAAAGATTTTCTCCTCAAACTCTTGTCAACAAAGTTGCTCCCACAATTCTATTAATGACACAACTGCTATTAACAGCTCAAGAAAGAATTGATCTCAGGTGCTAAGTCAGTATGTCATACATGTTTGGTGATACATGCTTCAGTACGACTCATACGAGACAATCTGTGGACTCATATAAGTCATAGACACAAGGCTGCAGTTCTCAAAATGTGATTCTGTTCACAAGGCCCTTTTGAAAGTGTAAATCTGGACTATGTGTATGATCTCAGTTAATGCAGTATGTGTGTCTGTTTGTGTGTGTCTGTGTGTTTGTGTTGTTTTTTGATAATAACTTTATGCACCGATTTCCACTGCATTTCTGAACTGATGTGCCAGGTGCCATGAAAGAAACTACACGGTGTCATAACATATCTAATGCTCTGCAAAATTGTGTTTTGTCTATTTAAGTGAGCCTGTGTGCTGGATGGTTTAATTTTATATGTTAAGATAACTTTACATGTTATATATCCTGCTGTCAGTCCTGCAAGAACCACTTGAATGAGCAACCATGGTTTGCTTTTCATCGCCTTTTTATTTTGCATTTGTATGTCTCTGTGCAATGGTGACTTTTACATAAGAGCCAGTGTAGCTGTGGATTACATAGCATAAATACCTTAAGCTACTGAAATATTCAATGTGGAATAGACTTTAAATATGGGTCATCAATGTGTCTCCTGGGCTCAGCTAAACACTGCTACTTTAAGCCGGAATGAGTGTCTCTTGAGTTTAAAGGCTACTCCTGCAAGCTAATATATACTGCTGTTGCCTTTTGAATTGATTGCAATTTATAAATTCTGTGAAATGGTACAAATCATTTAAGGCTCAGGCCTGATTTACATGTGTGCAGCTTAAACAGATAAATCATCCTGTTAACACAAGTCTAATGTAGACCTGTCCTTTATCTGCAGTCTGTTTTGACATTTGCTTCACTTGCTGTTGGGAGGGAAACATACACTTGATAAACAGTTTTTAACAGATCTCACTGAGGCTTCCTAGGACCCTGGCCATGTGTTAGCTGAATATTCTGCCTCTTTCTTTGACACTAAAAAAGGCTGATTATGGATGAAGGTTAGAGCCACTTCAATTTCAAATGATTTTATTTTTAGAACATATCAGCCCAGTGGCTAATCTCTACTACAACTGAACAGAAAAGGGAAAAATATTTTTTCATTTTATGAATCAATCTTTGAACAATAGCCTAATCTTGGCTTCTTTTATTTTTAATGAATACATCCAGTATTGTTTCCATATTTGGGGATGTTGCAGTTAAAAACTGATTTCTGGTTGTGCTAATTAGCTATACTTCAGTGGGACAAATGTCTTTTTGAGCTCATATATACAGACCATTTATTTTTACAATTCAAATTAAATGGCTTTCCTGATTTGAGCATGAGAAATAGCAGCAATGTAGGCTACACATTAATATAAAAAAGTGGGTGTACCCACTTTGATAATGGAACATGGAACATTTATGTGGGACGTTTTTTCCTTGCAGGGTGGTGGGATTTCATAAAAATGAAGAATCTGGGTTTGTGCTACTGTAATATGTGATTACAACAAAATCATATTTCAAATTGCAGAAGAAATTTTGTCAGAAGCAATATTGCCTCCACTGACCTCAATATAGTATGCTAAAACAATTCAGTAAAGATAGCATAACAGTTTTATGATCTAGCCCTTAAATGACAATTTTTGGTCCCACAATAAAGGTTAAACCGTTTTCTTTTATACTTGCATCAGAACCTTTGTACAGTTTTTACAAGTTAAATTATGCTTAAATAAAATAAAGTAAAAAATGATACTTTAACAAACAAAACACTGAAGTCATACAGGCGTAACCTGTGGCCCCACACTGAACAATGCTGAAAAAACGGCCCCCGTTTGACCAATGATGTGCAGTGTTGGCTGTGCCGGTGGCGCCCCTAGTGGCCGACAGCGGTACCGAACAGCAGCGGGACTCGCTGGACTGAGTCAATCCGCTGTAGCTCTCCCGACTGGAGGGATGTGACCCCGGAACAGGACGCCCTCCTACAACAACACCCCATTCAAACAGAGCACACAAGAAAGAAAAGCTGGACCAGGAGGGGTAAGCTCGTATGTCTCGTTTTCTTGACTAGGCGAACGCTGTCAGGGGTTTTAGAAACAATAGGCGGCATTCGATCCCGGCGTTTACACTTCTGGCAGAGCAGCGGTACCTGGATGGTGTTTGCACCCATAGGAACTTCATTCAGGCTTTTGTCTCGGGTATGCTAGCGAGCTAGCTTGGCTGGTTAGCATGGGCTGCTTTGCCTAGGGTAGAGCGGGTTTGGTGGAGACGAAATGAAATGTTCGCCGAGGTGAAAATAACGGCGTATTCTAAGTCAAGAGCACTGTCCATCCTTGTGTATTATTATTATGTATATTTTTTTGTTACCACGGACTCAGTTTGAGGTCCTCATCGAAAATGCGTTGAATGCTCGTTGCTTGCTAGCAACAAGAGCGCTGCTACAGATTGGGCAGTCTGCGTCCAGCAACATAACAACAATCATCCACAGTCATATATTTTCATCTCGAAGACAACTAACTGTTTCAATTTTTTCGCGTTCAGGAGTTTTTGTTTGTTGTGTAATTTCTCATTTAGAGTTTGTCTTTGAAGTGAACAAAAAAAATCAGTCAACCTATTTTAAAAACTGTTAAAAAACTCAGCTAACGTTAGTGAACATGGAGTAGAGTCTAGCGCCTACATTATAGTTTGGTTAGCCTGTAGGCCTACCCTTGTTAACAATACTGTACTTAAGATGCTTTAAACAACGACTTAACGGTTCTCTATTTCTTGCTGACAAGAGATTTGGCAGGCTGCTTGTTGTATATGATGCAAGGCTCCATGAAAATGCAGCAGACCCATTTGTCCCACTGACCAAAAACCTACCAGTAGCCAGGCATTAGTTATATTTAAAACATTTACAGTTCTGCTTCAACCACAAAAACTGCTGTCACCTTCTTTCAAAGTAGCTGTCAGTGTTCAAGTTTGCTGTTCACATTACTACACTGGTTTTCTATTTTGGGATCATGCCACCCATGGATGCATTGTGCCACTCTGCTTTTTACAGTGTCTGCCCTCTCCCACATGTCAGTTAGCAGACGGCCCTTTGAGTGGAGAAGCTGGCACCCTGCCGGCCACCACAGGGTATTGATGAGTCAGTGAGTGTCAGGGCTTGGCTGCAAGCAAGCACTGTGAATCCTCTTGGCAACTAGCAGAGTTGCTCAGGGACCACAGCATGTCAGGCCTGCCTTAGTTTGCACATTCCCCTAGCTAGCTGGATTTTGGAGTGAGATTAGGACCTCTGACTTCACCCCTCTCCCTTCCTTGCCTCCTTACACTCAGGGCAGGTGCTCTTCAGTGGCTGCTCAACCCCCTTGAGCCCTGAGAGGACCTCATCAGCTGCCTGCGACATCTCACAGCCTCTTGCTCTGTATTTGGCATAAGCACTTGTCAGCCTGTCAGCCTTAACCAGGCCACATAGTAACCCACTGTGGCCTGACATTGTAGAGCTGCTTCCATCCATTTGTGGCTTAGTCCAAATGACAGAGTCCTCCATACAACCACCTGGCTCTTTTACCTGTTTTTAAGAATGGAACTTGTAAGCTTAGTTTGTAAGCTTTTCTACTTGCAGCTCTCTGTCTGTAGTGCATTCTGTCCTGTACATTTGCACTACATTGTATCGCTCTGAGCACCAAGATCATACAACTGTTCACAGATGAGAATTTTATATGAGAATTTTATGCCCTTCCTTTACATTGGGGCTTTTGAAATCTTGTAGCTGCACCCCCAAGGGACCAGCTTAAGGCTGCAGCTTCAGTTTCAATCCCTTTGAGAGACACTGAGGAGTGAGCATAGATGTTCTGAGACCAGATTTAATTATGTTAAATCGCACGGGCTGTATAAAAAAATATCTCTTATATCAAATTAGGTATAAAACATCTTCAAAATGCTACATCTTTTGTAAAATATTTTTGCTGAAAAATGGTTCTGTTTTAAATCATGTTCTTAATTGAACTGTAGCAGTGTTACTGCCCAGTAGTAGCTTAAATAATGGGAGAAAACTACTTTTTAACTACCTGGGAACCTAAGCTTTCGAGTGACATTAGGTATAAATTTGTGATATGCCATGCCCAGCCAACTGTAACTCACTCTGTAGATCCTCATGTCATCACTATGTGGCACAGAAATAGTCGAAGGACAGTTAAGCACATCCAGACACCCAGCTATGAACTAAGCCTGTATAGTACAGTTGAGCAGGTTAAGTTCATGCCTCACATAGTGACAACAAGACGTGACCTACTTATCAATCATGTTTTCACAATCCACTTCACAGCCATTGTCCCCAAATACTGCAGTCATTGTTGTGGGTACTATACACATGAGGAGAGGCTACACACTAATGCAGACATCCACTAAGTCCAAGCCAGAGCGTTTCTGACCTGTGGTGTCTGCCGCTCAAATCCGACCCAGGGGGAGGCAGTCTGCTGGGTGTATGGCTGGTCAGATAGTTTATGTTTCCTGTAGTTATGTGTTGTGCAGTAGGTCTGAAAGCACTATGAAAATCAATCAGAATCAGATTTAGTGACCAAGTATGATGAACACACAAAATATTTGACTCTGGTACAGTGGCTCTCAATGTGCTTCCATGAGACAGCATATTAAAAAAAATGTGTATTTTAGTAGGGGAAAAAAGAAGAGACAAAATCTGTTAATATACAGTGGGTACGGAAAGTATTCAGACCCCCTTAAATTTTTCACTCTTTGTTATATTGCAGCCATATGCTAAAATCATTTAAGTTCATTTTTTTCCTCATTAATGTACACACAGCACCCCATATTGACAGAAAAACACAGAATTTTTGACATTTTTGCAGATTTATTAAAAAAGAAAAACTGAAATATCACATGGTCATAAGTATTCAGACCCTTTGCTCAGTATTTAGTAGAAGCACCCTTTTGAGCTAATACAGCCATGAGTCTTTTTGGGAATGATGCAACAAGTTTTTCACACCTGCATTTGGGGATCCTCTGCCATTCCTCCTTGCAGATCCTCGCCAGTTCTGTCAGGTTGGATGGTAAACGTTGGTGGACAGCCATTTTCAGGTCTCTCCAGAGATGCTAAATTGGGTTTAAGTCAGGGCTCTGGCGGGGCCATTCAAGAACAGTCACAGAGTTGTTGTAAAGCCACTCCTTCATTTTAGCTGTGTGCTTAGGGCCATTGTCTTGTTGGAAGGTGAACCTTCGGCCCAGTATGAGGTTCTGAGCACTCTGGAGAAGGTTTTCGACCAGGATATCCCTGTACTTGGCCGCATTCATCCTTCCCTCGAGTGCAACCAGTCATCCTGTCCCTGCAGCTGAAAAACACCCCAT